GAAAGACCCATCCCGGTGGGAGGGTCCTGGGCTGGGGGTGGGTGGGGGTGGGGATGAGAAAGGGGTGTGTGGTGGGGAGGATACAGGGAAAACTGTTGGTAACATTTGCGCTAGAGACTGAACTAAACTAAGAAAAATCGGTTCGAGGGTAGGGTCAAAGGATCATTTAATTTCATTCCTTTCGTCAACGCAGGGAACGATGCCTCTGGAGGTGGTGGTGGAGCTGCAGGTCCGGGCGGTAAGAGATTCACGCACTTCTATTCCTTGTCCCAGATCAGACTCGGCCCAGATAGTTTATACCACCAGCTTCCCAACTAAACACACACACACCCCGGGGCAAATTGTACGTATGTCCCTGAGGTATACATTGGTCTTCCCTTACTACCTAACTTTTCATTCAGCCGAACCTCATCCAGCTTTTCTCTCCAGAGCAAAATTTGTTTCTTAGCTTTATTCTGAAAATTTTGTCCTTTTAAAATAACTCTGTGTTAAGTCCAAGAAAATTCTGTGTTCTTTTTCATGATAAAGATTTGTTGTTAAAAAACAACAAAAACAAAACCCCTTTCATTTAAATAACCAGGGGAGAATTTAATAATTTCATAAAACCCATTATTTCTGATAATACATCACCTATATGAATCAAACTAATATTTTCTATTTCCTCTAGAAATGGCTCTGACTTGATAATCCCAAATGGGATATAATCAACAACAGTTATGTAATTATCCACCAATTAATTTAAGTTTAAGTGTGGCCCTGTGGGCAGTGTGACTCCATTGTTCCAGTCTGGGGGCAGTGATTCCTTTCATCTAAAGTCCATTTTCCAAGGCTTCCATCTGTAGTCACTGAAAGACTGTTGTATGGCTTCACTTCCAACCTCTAGGGGCTTCTCTACTGGTGAAGATTACAAGTACAATACTAACAAACACTGTCTTATCTGCCATGGAAAATATGGTTAGCTTCCATATAGATAATCAGTACTATGGTTTCATAATACCTGCAGTTCTGCAACAAATATTATACAATTTTCCAGTGTTGCCCCACTTAGCTGACAACAAATAGGGCCAGACTATATCAAAATTGTGCAGTAGAGTGAAGGAATTTTTAAGAAGCTTAGTTTTCCTCCTCATTAAGGCAAATGTCAAACAAACTTTCATCTCACTTCATTCCACAATATTGGTTAGTTTTATTTCGATTTTTAAAGTCATTCCTCAGTGTACAATTAATTACTTACAGTGCTCCAAAAGCATCAGCTAATCGACCTGTGTTTTAAAACTCTAGCAATGAAAACAGGGAATTCCAGAAATATAACCAGGAACCAGAGGGTAAACCTAATTTGAGACTCCAATATTTAGATTTATACATTGCAAAGAGGTAATATCATTGCTTGCAAATAATCTGGCCTAAACAATGGATTAAAATAAAGCATTTTCTCCCAAGGCTAAACAGAGCAAACCACTTAGAGCTTCTGTTTGGCTGCTTTGGCAAGTGAAGAGGTAGTATGTCTTCAGGATGTGGTGGGAATGTAAATAACTTTATTTTGAGAAGCAGCTTTTTCTATTTCAGCATGCCTCCCACATCCAGAAAGTTCAATGCTTCCACCCAGTGAGAGACTACTTATCACGATTCTTCATACTGTTACCAGTATGACAGACCAAGGGTCCTAATTCTTTTCATAAATGTCGAACTCTTTGATTATAAAGATTACCTAACGACACCAATTTGCGTGGATAATTAAAGATCCTTATTTTCAGAGAGAGCAACATTTAAAGCACATACCCACTTCAGTCTTTCTTAGTCAAAGAGTAAGTCACCCTGCATTGGGTGGTCTTTGGTCTTGTGATGTGGGGAGGCACCATGGATTAATTCTTTAAATGCAAACATCAATGTTAATGGAAATTTAGGAGTTAGTTATATCTTAAGCCCGGTATAGCAGCAGACTTCCCTCGATGAATTCAGATTAAATACTGTTACCTAAAGTATGCTGTGTACAAGGAATTCCATATGAAAAACTACAATATGTGGCGTCATCCTTGTGACATATATGAAAATGTTTATGCTCTGGCATTGCAAATAATTCCATTATGTTCCCATTTTACTACCTGAATAGAGGAGCATTATTTATTTTGAAGAGATCATAGGCAGTAGGACCCTACCTCCTCCCATACAGGCTCATATCATATGCTACAACTCTTCATTTTGACTTCCCCAGCAACTTAGATTTTCTACCCATTGTTATGCCATGCTACTTATTGTCAACAAAATCAAGCATGAGGCCATGGTCCCAGCATTCCCTTTCTATGGGCATTGTAGATATACCCAACTTTTAAGTGTTTCTTCAAGTATTATCTTGTCCTGTTTCTGAAAGCTAGAAGACTGTATTAGAGTAGTGGAAAATAAATATCTTTACAGATTTTCTGAGGAGGTAGGGGGACCGAGGGAGAAGAGAGAGAGACAGTACTATAATCTTGCTTCTCACTACCCACTCTGCAAAGATGGAAGAGTCAACAGTCAAATAGCTTACCAAGAACATTAGCATTGAGAAGACATCTCCCCAGATGTGGCAACAAATCTTCAAGAAGCACACTAGAAAAGTCTATGTCTTATACTCCTAAAATACTGCTTAAAATCTACTTTTAAAAAAAGGACTAGAGTTAGTTTGTGGCTCATGTGCATGTATATTTACAGAATAAGCATGTTTCTCTTCCCAAGTTCAATTTACAAATATGTTGATTTATGGGATTACTACAAAACACAAATTATGTCAGTTTTTAGAAAAAAGCAACATTATAATCACCCCAGCCTGGAGTCTCTGCTGCTGTCCTGGACATATAATTATTGAATAAATATATAATAATGAGGCATTTTTTTGCTTTCCATAAATATGGTTGTGCTCAGTAATGGCCAGCCAGCATGTGCTCAACCCATCAAGATGACAGTAAATCCCAAAGGAAGTCTGAAATGTCCTAAGGGGCAAGCGAGATGGGTGCTGGTTTATGATGGCATCATTGCTCATGGAAATCTTCAGATCTCCTGGTGCCATGATGAGTAAGGTGGTGTCAGGGTTGGTTCCATAGTACAAAGAGGAATGGAGCATTGTGCGGTGAGAGCCAAAAGTAGTCCACGATGCTGTACTGCATGTAGCCCAGGAAAAAGCCAAAAGCCACGTCTGTGACATTGTGCCGCCCCAGCATGACCCTGGAGAGGCCCAAGATGAAAGCCCACAGTATCACCAACACCCTCAGTGGAATGGCCAGCACCAGGTGGTTCAGAATGAACCGTGACACCAGGGCAGCCCTCGTGGCGTGGCCAGAGGGGAAGGAGTACTTGTCCACAGAGAGGGTAAAAAACATGTCCATCTGGTTGTGTGCTGGGCGGCGCCTGCGGACTAGCCCCTTGATCAGGCCCACCAGTAGCAAGTCCAACAATAGGGCGAAGAGCAGGTTCATCAACACCTCGCGCCCGGCCCAGCTGTCGCTCCTGGACAGGCAGTAGAGGGTGCCCAGGAGCCAGGGGATGCCGTGTCCCGAGATCTCCAATAGCTTCATAAGGGGTCGCACGCTGCCCCAGGACGAGCTCTCTCCCGCGCACACCCCCAGCTTCTTGGACAGCCACAGGTCGATGGCCAGCAGGGAGCGCAAGGCGATGCCCAGGAACGAGGGGTTCAGGTCCATGCGATCTTCGTCAGGCGGGGGGGCCGAGGGCGCCTGCGAGGGTCCAGCCCCGGTCAGGGGGAAGGAACCGCGGCGGTGCACAGGGCTCTCCGACGCGCGGAGCCGGGCGCAGGTGGGGTCAGCGCCCGGCGCACGACTGCTGAGCAGGGACTGGAACTCGAACCTGCTGCCGCCCCCATGGGCCGGGCTGCTAGGGCTGCTGCTGCTGCTGCTGCTCGAAGCGGAGGTGCCCAGCAGCCGTCCGTCTACATTCCTCCGGGGGCTCGGCATAGCGGCTGACCGCCCGGACCCCACGACCCAGCGGGTCTAGAGAGAGGCTTCCCGGGCCTGCAGCGTCTTCCGCTTCCGCACGACCATCCTCGAGAGGCGGAGACAGGCGCCAGCGAGAGGGCAATTGTGACACCTGGCGGAGACCGAGAAGGATCTGGAATTTCCAAATTGAAGAAGGACAGGGGGGAGGGTACTGTTGTGGGAGGTACAGATAAGGGGTTTTAACATTGTTGGAGGGTAGAAGAAGTAGAGCCACCTTTAGGAAAACAAAACACAACAAACTGTTCATTTTTTTTTACCCCTCTTTGCTCTTAAGATTTCTTGCCCAGGGGTGTTCCTTCCTGGCAAGCAAGATGTGTACCTTGGGATCTACTTTCTGAATCAGTACCTGGAGACAGAGTGCTTCCCCCCTGTATTCCCTCTTATGATTCAGCAAAACATGAAATTTGAAAAGGTAATCTTGACTTTCTTATTGCTAAATAGGAGAAATTTAAATTTAGCTGTCTGGAAATCATTTAATTGCTCTTACAAAGAACAGTCTTTATAAGCTTATTACATAAATTTACTTTAAAAAAATTGTGGGCACCTCAGCGTAGTGCCAAATCATAGTTGGAGGTTTTGCTTTTGCATCTCAGGTCTGAACCAAGTCACTTCTATCTAGTGCTAAATACTCTGGTGGATGTTTTCTATTCTTGTAATTCCCATGGCCTTTTCTAACTGGAGCAGAGAGAGAATTTTCTGAATGTTCTTGGAGGTGTTAAAGGCAGTTGCATCACATTTATGACAGAGATGATCAATAACCTAGAAGACTTAAGAAACAAACTTTTTATTGACTCAAATAGTGAAAAGCTATATCAAATTAGTTAAATCCTGTGTCTGAAAACTAGAAGGTTCCTTAGGTCTGAGATTGCTTAGGTCATTCTTAGTTTATTAGCTACAGTGATAGTGTCTAGATTCCATCCCAGAGAATAAGACCATGACATTAACAGCCAAAATATTACTAGTCCTCTTCCCACTTTAGAATATTAATCTCATTAATACAATAAGACCATGACATTAACAGCCAAAATATTACCAGTCATCTTCCCACTTTAGAATATTAATCTCATTAATATAACGCAAGTGACTGTGTGTTGAATGTTTAGTTTTGGAATTTGAAGGTGGAATCAATTTTAAACTTGATAAATTTAATGATTTTTGTCCCTCCAAATATCACTGGGGTGGTCTTGGGGGGAGGAGGTGACTATGGGGAGCCTCCAGAGTAGGGGTTATCAACTTTTTTTTAAAAATTTATTTATTTGTGCATACAGAACTGGGGTACAGGCCAGAGGCCCAGGGGTGGCGAGAGGCTTTACCAGAGACAGAGTGGGGAGCAGAAGTTCACTGCTGAGGGAAGCAGCGGGCAGGGTCAGGAGAGGTCTGCCACACCATGTGGTCACCTCCGGGGCAGGCAGGAATTGAACTCATGCTGAAGTGGCTTTTAGCTTCTTAGTGCTGTGCTTTAACCCGCTGTGCCACCAGGGAGGGCCAGGGTTATCAACTTTTAAAGATCTGGATGGGGGCCCTCTCTGCTATCACCACAAATTAAAGTGTAGCACCAAGAAGCTGTCTGGAGCCACTGCAGCATGAGTATGATCCCCAGCCAGGGAGTGACTCACATGGCATGGCAGGCCTTTTCTGTCTAGCCTGCTGCTCCCTTCAGCAGTGTAGTACTTCATCAGTCTGTCTGTTCTGATCCCCTCTCTGTCTCTGGTAAATCCTCTCACCTCCCCCCTACATCTGGCCTGTACCTCAGTTCTGTATGCAGGAATAGATACATCTTAAAAAAACAAGCAAACAAAAAAAGCAAGAGCTGGATGGTTGCCCAGAAAATAACCTCTCTTTCAGACCTGAGAGTGGGAGAAGAGGTAAGAGTTGAATTTTTAAAGGGCTAGGGCTATCTGTAATATTTAAACAAATTAATTATATTATTAATAATAATTGGAGTAGATTCCATCAAAGTGGCTGGATTTGAGAGGAACAAATGGGTAATTTCTTAGAGTACACAGTAATTTCCAATAGAAATTACTTTTCCATTTAAATGATAGTAGTGGTAAAAGGTAGATGGTAAAATCCAGTTTATTTTTCCCCAAGAATTTCCTAATTAGTTTTAACAACTTTTCATTTGCTTATGTGGAAGACTTTAAATGACTGTAGGGATCATTTAGTCCAACTTCCTTGACTTGTAGAAGGAAAGCATGAAGCTTAGTATCACAATTTAGATGCCACAACTGCCATATTGCAGACTGTGCAATATCATGGATCGTATTTTAATTTTTTAATATGCAATTAAGTAAACTATTTTAAATTTAGAAAAACTGCATTCTTGTGTAAGTTGTTTGGGTTCACATTCCAGAGTTTTTTTCCACTTGACTTCAGTTTTCTCATGCCTGTTCTATGCTCTGGCTGCAAAAACTCGCAGCAAATAGTGAAAATATTTTCTTAGACTTTCTGTGTAATTCAAATTGAACACTCTAAAGCATTTAGATAAGTAAGAAATTACTCATAAAGAATATATGAGCCATTAAATTTGAGCACCTTATATCAATTCATTTTCTGGCCAGGATCACACTTAACGAAATCCTTTGACATGGGTGAAGGGTTACAGTTACTGAAATAACTGAAAAAGAGAAACATCACTTACATTTTCTAGATAAATCCAAATCAGTAAAACAAGAATGGATTATATTTTGTAGTTAAAGAAGATCTGACTTTAGCTCAAGAGCAGACTTTTACCATGCTTAAGATTAAACAACCATTCATTTAAGTCAGAACTTTAATGCCTAAAAAACTCCACTGAAAACGTCTGTTTCTTACAGGGTTCCAGAGTTCAGGGAAAGGGGCATGATACCTTTTATTTCAGCCTTATTCTAGGTACTTTTACCTCAAGGACAAAATATGGAGCTTTGACCCTGGCCAGAGAGGTATCACAGTATTTTTCTTTAAAAAATTTTTTTATTGGCCCTCCCTGGTGGCACAGTGGGTTAAAGCACTGCACTGAGAAGCTAAAGCCACTTCCTCATGAGTTGGATTCCCGCCTGCCCCGGAGGTGACTACATGGCGTGGCAGACCTCTCCTGACCCTCCCGCTGTTCCCCTCAGCAGTATACTTCGTAGATCTGCCTGTTCTGCTCCCCACTCTGTCTCTGGTGAAGCCTCTCACCGCCCCTGAGCCTCTGGCCTGTACCCCAGTTCTGTATGTACAAATAAATAAATCTTAAAAAAAAATTTTTTTAAAAATTTATTTGTGCTTACAGAACTGGGGTACAGGCCAGAGGTGTGGTGGGTGAGAGGATTCACCAGAGACAGAGTGGGGAGCAGAACAGGCAAATTGACAAAGTACATTGCTGACTGGAGTAGTGGGCAGGTCAGGAGAGGTCTGCCACGCCATGTGGGTCAGCTCCCTGGCGGGGCATGGAACTTGTGCTGCAGTGGTGTTATAGGGGAACTTCATAATGCGGTGCTTTAACCCATTGTGCCACCAGGGAGATGCCATCACAGTATTTTTCTTGTACTTCACTTAAAAATTAATGAGACTTGGGCTCTCTCTTGTGGCACAATGAGTTAAAGCACCACATTATGAAGCTCTCCGAAGCCACTGCAGCACTAGTTCACTCCCCAGCCAGGGAGCTGACCAACATGGCGTGGCAGACCTCTTCTGCTGCTCCCCTCAGCAGTGTACTTTGTCAATCTGCCTATTCTACTCCCCACTCTATCTTTGGTGAATCCTCTCACCCACCACACCTCTGGTCTGAACCCCCGTTCTGTAAGCATAAATAAGTAAATCTAAAAAAAAAAAAAAAACAAAAACAAGCAACTAAATGAGACTTGTCCCTTCCTAGTTATTTGTGGATTTTGCTGGAGTGTAGCTCCAGAGCTCCCCCACCTGCCTTTTTTGAGAGTTTAAGTTAGCCATCTTGCTCTTATTGAAACTTACACTAGTGCCTGTTTTCATTAACTGAAAGAAATGTGAAGAGGATATACTTTTAAGACAAAAGTGGAAAGTGAAAATAGCGAATAGTGTGTATTTTGTAGCAGTTGCTATACAGGCACCACATACCCTCAACAGAAAGGTCCTTCCCAAGAACTGCTTTATATACAGGCTGTATATTTAATATATCATTCTTGATTTTTCTATAGCTTAATGTTATTTTAGGCTTTACAAATTATTTGGTAGGTTTTGGGAGAATGGGAATGTTCAAACCATTTTTTGATATAAATTAATGATAATTATCCTTGTACACTTGACTTACAAAAGGTTTCATGGGAATCCTCTACTTTCCCAAAACACAGAAGAAAGCTGTCCTAGTACTTAGTTTTTCTTTTGTGTTATATATAGATAGGATTTTAATTTATATTCCTTTTCAGCACAACCAGTTACTTTAATTAAGAACATTAATGAATACCTTAGTATGCCAAATGTTTTTCTTCCTAGGTACTCAAGCTTAAGACTCTTTGAGGTTGATGCCAGACATGCTTTTACCAACAAGTTTTACGGCTAGGTTGATGACATTGTGAGCATATGCTAGATTCTACTAACTCAAATTTCCCTTGCACTTGGAATTGTGTCAAGTCTTATCCTATAGTCATTTGTTGAACTCCATGATGGTTAAAGATACTTTTATTGAACCTTAAAATAGTATATGACTGGGTTTTAATGTGTTAATTATTTGGAATAATATAACTTATAATTTTATTAATATGTGTCCACAAACACATTGAATATTTATTTTCCCCATTTTTTCTTGCAGGTATTTGAAAATGCAATAGACCCTGGCACTGTAGCAGATATTTTAGAAGGTATTTACTCTAAAAAAAAAAGACTGTTGTGTGTATGTCATTTATTGGTGTAAAATTCTGCTGTTTTCTAAATTGTACTTTTCTGTTTGGTTCATATTTATGTTCCAGAAGGTCTATGTAAAATTTGAGTCATGTTTTTGATTGACAGACCCTTTTCTAGATATGGGTGGAGTTTCCTGGATGGTACAATTTTGTTTATAATAAGAATAAAAATGATTTTTATATAGTCTCATATAAAGGGGTATGTAACCCTTACATAATCCTTGATAATAAATTTTTATCATCACAAAAAAGAAATCATATATGTAGTCTTCCTCATCCCCTCAGCCTTTGGTAACTCCTAACTAATCTTTGTTTCTACAGATTTGCTTATTATGAAATTATACAATCTGTGGTATTTTGTGACTTAATCTTAAGAAATAGTAAGGTAAAATGTCTTTCTGAGATGGGTTGCCATTGTAAGAATGCAGTTTCCCTCATGTTTGTTTAAATCCTAAAGAAAAAATTCAGCATGTTGACTAGTAATACAAGAATCAAGATAATTTCATTTCAATTCCCAAATATTAAACCCAGGTGGTCAACTGATGTGTTGAAAGAACATGAGTACATTTCTCTC